GCGCTTCCAGAGCCGCGGGGATACTTCCTGCGGGCAGAGTGGAGGGTCCCCCACCCCTCCCAAGGACGAGGCTGTGAAGTCACCCACCAACTCAGTCCAACACTGTAGGCAGGAGGTTCTCTCTGGTTCTCTCTGGTTGAGGCTCTTGCACTCACGTAAGAGGCGGGGGAAGGGGATTTCTATTCTCCGGAGTGTTCTTTACAGTAAAAATAGGGGGCTGTATTACTCTAGGGGATCTCAACCTCGTTCGGAACTCTAACTGGCTTGGTTAAAGTAGGGACGACTCTGTATTTATAATATTTCAAACACCATTAAAAGAGTATCTTTTAATTTACAAGATGGAATGTCTGAGGTTTATTTTAAAACACCCAGAAGACTCTAAGAGGAAAAAGAAAATTGACAGATTCAACAAGATAGGCGAAATATTGCTGTCGAAGCTGGGCATAGGTCCTTAGGATTCTCCTTACCTTCCGCCTCTGGAAGGTCACAATTTGAAAATTTCCAGAATAAAAAGGTAAAACCCATGGAGTACATTTCCAGTTTCACTTCTTAACTGCAGAGACCTTGCCTGAGTGTAACCCTGCCCTTGCAGGGTTACTGGAACTGGACACCTTCCCAGCTCTGACAAGCCCCAGGTCCTTGTCCTAGGTCCTGTCCTCTTCTGCAGGACTCCAGCCCTGGCTCTGCCAGACAGGGATTCCCCCCCTCCCGCCCCCCCCACTTTCTCTGTAGATGGACTTCCTGCTTCCTAGCTATGCCTGGTCTCCAGGCAGAGGAGGGCACTCAGTCACCTAGCCCCCACTGGGATCAGTTACCTATTTGGAGAAGGAAAGACCTGAAAGGACTGCACTGGTCATCTGCATCCTGCTTGCAGAGTCCGCTTCTGGGGCCAAATCTTGCAGGTTGTGAGTTTCAGAATCACTTGTCTCCTAGACCCGATACTTGACCATGACAAAGGGTTTAATGACAAACAGGACAAACTTGTCTCAGCCCTGGCTTCCTGGAAGGGCCTTGACACATTAACTGGAATTAATTTATCTGTTGACTGTGCTGCCACCTTGAGCCTCTGGGAAGAGACTTGTGCTCCCCCACGGGCAGCCCCTTCTGGAGTATGAGCTCTCCATGGGGGACCGAAGTGGGTCCCAGCCTCCTCACCTCACGTCAAAGCTGAAATGCCACCATCGGCACGTGGGCAATCCTCCCTTGTATTAATGTTGAAATGGGCCAACATATGAGGCAAAGAGGAAGTGGGATATTTCTTAGGGACAAAGGCCTTAGGAGTGCTGTACTTTCCACAAACTGTTTGCTTTTAAAATTTCCACAAGGAATATTAATTGTTTAAACCACGTACAAAGGGTGGCGTGTTAGTTTTGAAAAGAGGAATGTGAACTTGTGAACTTGGTTTGAGGTGGAACATGAGGTTATTGATGTGACAGGTGGAACCTGCCAGGAGCAGGTTCCTTTCAGTGTATTTTCTTGCCTTGGCTGGGAGCTACTAATGATGTCAGAAGAAGGCAAGTCAGACAAGTCAGCAGAACCAAACCTGCAGGTATAGGGGTCCATGGGTCTGTACCCACAGGGACTGAGAGCTCTCAGATGTCAATTACCTCCTTCCCCTATACCCCCTGCCCAGCCAAGTTCAACAAAGACTCAAACTTATTCTCTGTGGTGGACACTACTAATTATCTACCAGAATTCATTCTCCCGTTTGTCCAAAATAATGGGGCTGCAGTTCATCCCCTGCTTGCCCAGTCAGAGGCTACATTTCCCAGCCTCGTTTGTGGGTAAGTGGAACCTCGTGTCTTGTGGATGGTGCAGGGAGGTGATAAATGCTATTTGCCAGGTCTGGACCTGAAAACCTTAAGTGTGCTCTCCTCCGTTCTCTCTTCTCCTCTTCCCATAACCTGGGACCCACAGCTGCCTACACCCCAGCCATGTGGATAAACGGAAGTCCACATGGAGCAAATTGATGGGTGGAGCCAGCGCCCCGGGGTGTACAGAGCAGGGCAAACTGCCAGAGAGGATTGCCTACCTTGAGAGGGTTATGTGGGGGAAAGTCAATGTAGGGTCTTTATGAACCAGCATAGTTATAGAGGGGTCTGTTTGTCTCAGCAGCTAGACCTTTACGCACAGACTGCAGTGTACATCCCCCCTTTCTTCACATATATATGCTCCAGACAAAATCGAGAAGCCGTGACATTGTTGGTTTGATCCGTCTCTTGCTTTCTTCCATTTTTGCATGTCTGCCCCCCTATCTGCCTGACGTCTATCTATCCACCCATCCATCCACCTCTCCTGTCCTTATCCATGGGTAGAATAACTACCCATCCTACCTGCCACAGTAGAGACTCTGTATACCTATTTGTAGAATGAATGACAGTCAGAGCACAGTAGGTGTCTGAGAATTAAAGTCAATTTAAGACTCTTATTGACCTTATGTCCTGAAAAACATATAAGGCTCCCCATTCACCCTATAGGTAGTTCAAAATATAAATTAATACTAAACTGTAAAATCAATGTAAGTAGAGCATAAACATTCTGATTTATTTTTTCTCATAAAGATTGGGATGTTATTTTGAAAACAATATATTCTTTCTAGAAAAAAAGGGCTTTCGTTTGTTGGTACTTGGAGCACATTCCTAATTATCTACTCCAAGAGCTGCCCATGTTTTCTGGAAAGAAGCCCACAGCAAACACTTACAAGTAGATAGAATAGATTCCCTTCCCTCACGACTCTACACTGCTGCTGTAGAGCTAGGAATGAGGGGCTGGTGGGGGGGTGGGGGCGGGGAAGCTTGTTAGTAAAACTTTAGGGAAAAGTGTGTTAATAAAACTTTACTTATAAAGACAGGGATGGGCAGAATTTGCTTCCCTCGTTGTATTTGCTACTTTTGGTTTACTTTCTATCCATGTGTCTTCCCTTACTAACGCTGACCATATTTTGTTTGTCAGTGTGTTCACCTGAAAATACAATTCCCCCCAGTCTCCCTTGCAGCCAGCGGTGACCACACTTTTGGCCAGAACGTCATACACTGAGGATTTCTGGGAAAGCTTTTGCTTTCTTGATATAAGCAGTCTTTGCCATAGGGGTGGGGCAGCAGGAGAAGAGAGCTGACCATCAGGGAGTGAGCCCAGGTTAGAGATGGGGTGGAGATCCCAAACCTGGCCAGAGAAGGATTGGGGTGGGGGAGTTGACACCAGAAGGGACAAACCCCAAAGCTGGAAATGCACAACCAAGGCTGAGGGCCTGTTAACAAAAGAAGTTGTGCCTGGGGGGAGGGGTTCTGTAGGTAAGAGCAGGAAAGCCAGGGGATTAGCAAAGAGCTGAGCCTCTTTAACAATAATATTTACCAGCCACCTTCATTTCCTGGTCTGGCTTTGGGGGTGCACCTAGGTTTGGCCCATGGAAGCCTTTTTGTTGTAGGTTTACAACATGAGGCCCCAAACCTCCTGTAACGCACACCTGCGCATCTAAGCAGGAATCTGTTCACCCCTTTTAGCAGCTAACCCGCGGGAAGAATGTTGGACCGTCAGTTCCTCTCTAGGGAGGGTGTTTTACTAATGCGTGACACCCTTCAGTTGCGGGACACGGGGAGGCATCGAGTGGAAAGTGCCTCCAGCTTCTGGTCTTTGTGGTGGCGACAGTCTTGAGACTTTGAATGATCTCTCTGGACTTCAGTTTTCCCATCAGTAAAATGGGCTTGGGGTGATGGCAAAGTGGCTTCAAGCATTCCAGTCACACAGCATTCTGGAGCAGTTGTTTCCAAAAAAATAGACTATTTT